AAGGCAGATGAGGTGCCTCGCCAACACTGCTCCAGCCTGGTGACCAGCCCGTCAGTGCTCAGCTGTCATGGAGCATCTGAGAGATTGGAGGACTCCTCTCCTTCCTCTTTTGGCAAGGAATAAGGCAAGGGGACAGCTTGGTGCCATTGAGGAGTGGGGGAAGGGTGGGGCATCTCAGGCCCTGCAGGCCACCCTTCCCCACAATGCATTCTGCTTGCTGAGCCCCAGTCTTGCCCTCTCCTCCTGGTACCCTCCCCAGGTACTTGGGGTGGGGAAAGGCCTCAGTTGGGTTGGACTTTGTTTTTGTATAGGAGCCTGAGGCAGGGCTAGCAGTACCTTTTAATAAAAAGCAACAGGCCATGCAAAAAAAAAAAAAAAAAAAAAAAAAAAAAAAAAAAGAATATGTACACAGTTTTTCTTTTTCTTTTTACTGATTGTGTTAAATACAACATGACTATAAGGTGTTAGCTTGTTTTTGTTTTTAAAGATTGATAAGTAAATTCATCTTATTGTGAAAACTCTCAAAAGATAAAGCAATCTTGCTTTGTATTGTACTGGTCTCATAAAGAGTTTCTTGTAAGAAACATGCCAGGTTTTTAGTGTACAAGTTAATTGTCTGACAAAGTGCTAAAACAATCCTCTTGCCATGAGAGGAAATGTCTGTCCCTGTGAATAGCAGACAAGACAGAATCACAACTTCGCGATAAGATAAAGAATTTGGATTTATCTTCAGATTCTAGGTTTTTTCACTCTCCAGGTAAAGGCAGTACATACTTGATTTCACAGTGTCTCATACATGCCTTTTTATATTTTTACAGAACAAATGTTGACACATTTACATTGTGATCTAAATAAGGTTTCGGACTTGCACTGTGAGGGATTTGAATTTTCTATGAAGCTAATGAAACTTAGATTTTAGGATCCCTCATCTGTCCAGGCTCCTTCCATGGAGCTCCTTATCAAGAACAAGAGAAAGAAAATGGATTTAAAGTCTCCATGAAGAAGCAGTGCCTCTTTCTTTACTCATTTTCTACCTGCCACTGGGCCAGGTGACAATAAAATTTCAATGCTTTCTGCTTCCTTAAATAAATGTCAATAGTTTGAGAGATCTGGGATTTATACTACAAAGGAGTTTGATGATTTATCTACAAATGGAAATTTCTAAATAATCTGATTCTTAGATGGACAAAAAGAAAATCAACTGTGAAAGTGTATTTGGAGACTGTATAGCTAGAGGAATCTAAAAAAGTATTTGAAAGGGGCTTGTTTATGAATCTTTAAATCCCTGTTCTTTTGCTAACTGTCTTCTTTGATGGATATATTTCTCTGTTGTATGATGCTCTTTCTCAGTGTTACTAATGCCTGGTGATTACTAATTACCTGATATTAGCAATTGGTTAAATTCAGTGATATTCTCCTCCCTTTTCAGGGTCTTCCGCTTAACTGGCAATATCAAGAAAATTCTCATGTTGACCACTAGAGCAAGAAGCATCCCAAGGCCCAGATCCACCTGGCTGTTTCTCTATATAAAATATATCCCACCTATTTCTTTTTTTATTTTTGCCATAATTTTATTGATAAACAAATAGCAATGAGACAGTTTCAAATCAAATTGGTAGGACAGTTTCAATAATTAACACTCTGCCTACATTCTTCTTAGTGGTTAACTGCTGTACAAGATGCGGACTTGATATCCTATTTACAAACACCATTAGAACAAATCATTTTGTTCATTAAGAGAATGTAACTATATATCTATCCTAATCACTTTGAATACACAGATACAAAATGCACATTCATCTGTATACCCTTTTTTTTTTTGTTAAGTTCCATTATTTGAATATTATAGGTGTATCAACTCAGCAAAATATTCAAAAACTGTCCAGGATCCCATAATAGTATTGGGTCTTCCGCTTAACTGGCAATGTCAGAAATTATTGACCTGAGTCCCCTACAGCTCAACATAACAGCATGGCTTTATTTCTTATATTTCGTTTTTATACTTTTCTTTTGGATGGTTAAAACTAAAACAGGACCTATGTAACAAGAGTTGTAGCTTTTGGGTCTGAGTAGGTCAGTGAAATGCCCTCAGGATTTATCCTGAGATCCTGTACCTCAGATTGTAGAACCTTTGTCAGTGTCAGCCATGTGGATGAGTCACGGCCATTGCTTGGTCAATGTGCTCTCTGTGAAAGCCTGAGAGAATGTTTTCTCTCCATATGACGCTCCTTAGGCACACTCTACATCATCTATCACTTTCCTCTTTGGCCCCATAATCTCCTTGATCAGAAAATTTGGGACACTACCGAGTTACATGACGTTACAGTACAAGTTCTCATATGTCCTGAGTATTAATTGACCTTAGAGGGTTAGGGCCAAAATGTTGGCTTTCCTTGTAGCCCTCATTTTTCTCTAATTATGGTCCACAAACTTAGGTTGTTAACCATCCAGAAGAAAAGCTTGTTGTTATTGTCAAACAACTTAGGCTGTTAAGCTTAACCTCACTATCTGTCTGCATATCAAACATCTTAGGCATAATATTATCCCACCTATTTCAAGACCAGCATGTCATGAGATGTCTTTTGTTTGAGGTAATTACTTACAACTAAATAAAGAAAATGTTTTCATTAATATATCCCTCTTATTTCAAGACCAGCATGTCATGAGATGTCTTTTGTCTGAGGTAATTACTTACAACTAAATAATGTTTTCATTAATATCTGGCATGTGTTAAACCATAATGTGTCAATCATTTTGTTAACCTGTAAAATAGTTTAGCAATATAGAATTCCAATAAATGTATGAACCCAGCCCTTCTTTTCTTAGATATCAAGGGACTCTCCAAGAGCTAAGTGCCAGAAAGGGAAATAAAATACAAGTACCCTCATGCAAATCCTGGGTTGTAATAGAGTGAATCATTCTCTGGATATTTTGCCTTAAAAATTGATAAATGTACTCAGTTATTTCTAATACAGGTCACTCTTGTTTATTTTAATGAACATAGCAATGGAATACAAGTAAGGGCAAAGATTTTTGCTTTCTTCTTTATCATTCAGAGATTTTCTTTTTCTCTTGAAGCATTCCAAGAAAGAATGAAAGGAATGGAACTCAGATGAGGATAAAAATCCTTGCTTCTCTTAGTACATAATTTTTATTTCTCATAAAGCATTCCAGGAAAGAGCAAATAAGAGGAATTCTGGGACCTGCTTGTGTCTTGTACTGTCTTTGTCCAGATACCACGGTTGCTTTGCTGAGTGTACTCTTATGGGAGAACAGAGAATACAGTGTAAGAATATAAAGATATGTCAAATTCAAGTAGTGTTCTTAGTTATTTATGAGCATGAGGGAAGACTAAACCTTTACCACATCCTTCCTGTGGAATGCCTTTGCATCCACTTCCACTGGAGGCATTTTGGTTACTATATGTTGCAGTAGTCATGCTGCCCAGGCCAAACTGGAGATTTTGAAAACTTTAGAGCGACTGAATATAATTTTCATAAGGAGACATCCATGGCTCTTTGGGGTCCAGAGGTGGCAATGTTATAGTTTAGAAATAAAATGGCTGCCAGAGCTGCATGTGTATGGAAAGTGATTGGGTGATTGGGATGATAGAGCTGAAGTGTGATTGTGAGGTAGGGTCTGGCTGGGGGAGCTGTGTCACTAGGGCCATGGTCTGGAAGGGTCCATCTCCCTGTCTGACTGGTAGCTTTTGCTCTGCTCTCCAGGTGTCATGATGTGAATAGCTTTTCCTCAGCTGTGTCCTCTTCCATGCCTCCCTGCCTTGAAAGCAGATGCCATAGGCTATAATCATGAGCTCTTTCCTTTTCAGTTTGTGGGTGCTAGGTATTGTGGCTCAGTAGCAAGGGAAATGATTAAGAAAGAGTCTAAAGCAGTATAATCAAATTCTCAAGGTAAAATATAAAGAGAACATTCTCAGGGTATCAGGGGAAAGTAACAATAAGCATAGAAGTAGTTCTCAGTTTTTGGATCGATGACTCCTCCAGGGAAACCTTTTGGGCCAGGTGAGATTGGTAGGGGTATTTTACAGTAGTAGGAGAAAAGGCCTGCTAACCAAGATTCTCCTGTACAGCAAAGCGGTCCTTTAGGAGTGAAGGAGAGATAAGACATTTATCAGCAAACAAAGCCTCAGACAGTGCATCCCCTCCAGACATGTCCTATAAGAAATACTAAAGGGAGTTAGTTGCTCAAGTAAAGTGGCCTTAATGACTATGAAGAAAACATTAGATGGTGCAAAAAATATCACCAATAAAGGGCAACCATAAAAATAAATGCAGTGTACTCTAATATTATAAACATGGTATATAAAATATGCATGTCCTTAGCTTGACTGAAACACCAAACAACTAAAAATAAAACTACACGAAGATGTTAAAATAGGAAATATGAAAAGATATAAATTGGACATTGGAAATATATCATGTGGGGAAGACTGGAGAACAAGGTCAGAACTTATTATTAGTATATTTTATCTTCTTTTAATCTTCTCTGATCTTTGTGGCTATGCTTTGTTGTTGACCTTTGAAAATGCTTGATTAAATGATAGCTCTAAAAGCCTCATAGTACAGCTGGGGATTTGGCTCAATGGTAGAATGCTTGCCTAGCAAGCTGGAAGCCCTGGGTTTGGTCCTCGGCACCAAAAATAAAAAATAAACCTCCCCTCAAAAACAATTCAGCCAAGAAAATATAGTACAATAAAAGCCTCACAGAACATAAGGCTATGAAAGACAAACCCAGGACAGCAAGTAAAGAATCAAAACACAATGATAGATTGCTTAATCATAAGGAAAGATTGTAAGAGAGGGGAAAAAAACCAAAATCTAATACAAGTTAAGAAGTTATGAAATGGATTTAGTAAAACTTTATTTATTGATAATTACTTTGAATGTAATTGGATTAAATTCTCCAATATAAAGACATACATAAACTAAATGAATAATAAAAGCAATACCCAAATCTTTTTAGCTTGACAGAAACTCACTTTACCTTGAAGGACACATATGACTGCAAATGAAGACACGGAGGAAATGCGAATCAATTTTCACATTCTCACGTTCATCTTTTAACTGATCAAGTGGTGGGACTGTAAGCTATAAGAGACCCACGACAATGGGCTCTAGAAGCCACAAAGAAGCAGGCATAGGAGTGAAAGCCTTGTGCTCACTGGTCATGTAAATCATCTGCCTTCTCAGTACTCACAATGATGATTGAGTTTCAACAAACAAAGCTTAGGGGGTCACTTAATCCTAACCCAAATTTAGCTGAAACCATCAATATAGTAAATCTGACTCAAATATGAGTTCCACAGCTATATGGTTTCCCCAACTTATTTGAGTATGGAGTTTAAAAATCTGGAGACAAAGGCTATGTTAATTCCGCAAAGGATTCTTCTTGATGGTTTATCATGCCTCTAAGTGGACATCTGCTCTCTGGTGCCCACTGGCAGGGGCTCAGTGTTCTGCTCAGAATTTCTTCACCTCCTTACACAGCAGCATACTTGCTTCCTCATCCAGCGGAACGGGCGCCTAAAGCTCACACAGCGTGTGGTTCGTGTGCTGGAGGAAGTGTCCTTGTCTGGCTGCACTGCTGATGTCCAGCCAGTCTCTGGAGAGCTTACCATTCTGTGGCCCACCATCTGATTCACCACCTGCCAAGGAAAAGGGATGTGTTACAGCCATGGAGTGACAGCCATGGAGTAAATACTGATTAGTGTATGCAGCTGAAACCCTTTTAGCAGAAATAACCCAACTCCAAATGAATATCCTCAGTTCTCATTTCATAGTTAAAAACACACACTCATATGCACATACAATTTGCATAACTATCAGACCTTCTTTTTGTTCTTATCTCCCCCTTTCCCTCAGTCTCCTTGATATTTTCTCTACAATTCTTCCCTGAATTCTTTTCTTTCTGTCTTCCTGTCCTGCTGCTGGTCATGTCAGGTACCAAGTCAAGCCCCAATTAGGGTACTAAGGCTCTGTGCTGTGCAGCATGGCACCCTCACTTTTGCCTGGCTCTCCTGAGGGGCAGCTCTGTGCTCACCTTCTTCTTATTCTTTTTTTTTTTTCAGAATCGGGGATTGAACTCAGGCCCTTGCACTTGCCAGACAAGCGCTTATCTACTGAGCTATCTCCCTGGCCCTTATGCTCACCTTCTTAAGATTCTGTCTCTTGAGCATTGGAGTCATCTCTGGGAACTGGATGTCTTTATTCTTTAACGCTTTGCACTCAGGCAAGTCTTGATAGGTGTCATGTTCTCTATGCCTAACCTGAGCCATGTGCAGAGAGCAGCTGCCACCCAGCTGGAAATCATGTTCAACTGATAGTCCTGGGAACACAGAGCCATCAGCTTTGTCATTTCCAGGTATTTGTTCATTTTCCTTGTCATCTTTCTTCTCTTCATTCCCATCTGCTTGATTCTCATTATCATCTGCCTGATTTCCTTCATCATTTAGAGTTTGTAGATAGTTGTGAAGGTTATTCAACAGACTGTGCACTACACGATCTTCCTCTGCCAACACAGCACCATGATCATCCCAGGACAGGGCACTGCTTTGCATAAAACCTGGCTCCCAGCTGTCTTGAATTGAACCTCTTCTGCTTATGGGTGAGCTTTCACTTTGCACACCTCCTCTGCATTCATGAGTCAGTAGCCACTGGACTGAAAAGTCCACATTAAAAGTTATTTCTTCCTCAAAGGTTGTGTCATCACAGGAAACGGTGTCCTCATGAGGAACATGGCCCTCAGAGAGGGGAGTGTTCAAACTGTCCTCAGAAAATGAGTCCTCTGTGTCACAGTAGTTGCTGCTGGAGATTGAGAACTCCATGGGAAAGAAGGGCTAAAATATTAGTCTTCGTCGACTCAGGTAGCTTCAAAAGAGAAAAGAAAATAGATGATATCAGCAAGAGGAGTCCTGTGCTGATGCACAGGTACTATCCATTTATTTTTCTACTTAGAATTATTGCATTCAGACAAAGTTCATCCTGTGTTTGCACTCACCAGGAAAGGGTGTAAGAAACAGTTCTTTCCTTAAAAATTCTTTTTCCTTGGACAGTAATGCTCTCTATTAAACATCTCCATTTGACTCCTCACTTTACTCTAGCTGAGTCAACTCATAGCATAAAGAAAACAATGCTCGTATAAAGCTTGAAAAACACAGGAAAGCAGGAAGATGGAAATAGAAAGATGAAAGTCAACACACATTTGCTAAGCTGATCATGCTGGCATCTCTCAAGCTCATCTCTCAAGAGGCTGTATAAAGAGGACCTTAATTTTCAGGCCTCCCTGGGCTATACAGTGGGTTCAAGGCCAGTCTTGACTACACAAGGAAATTTGTCCCAAAAAAGGAACAAGCAGAGGACTATTTTGTGGGATTTCCACCTAGCTTTTTTGCTTTATGTCTATACATTGTAGGTACATGTATAAGGTATGTGTATGCTCATGTTTGAGTACATGTGGATGTCGTATCAACACAAGCTGAGATTAGTAAATTTTATGGCTCAGTCTATAATGAACATATATATAGCTATTCACTAAATCTTTTACTTTTTAAGAATACAAAGTGGGGATAGGAAAAAAACAGCATTGGAAATGATAAAAGATTTCACTAAACAAAGTAATAAGAATTCAACAAGTATTGCCATGTCTTTTTTAAATTTATTTTTCATTTTGTGTATTTGGTACAGGGTCTCACTACGCAACTAGGACTCATAGTGATCCTCCTGTTTTCATCTTCCTGTGCTCTGGGATTACAGGTGTGTATCATCACGCCTGGACTTGGTCCCAGCTCAGTGTGCCCCAAGGGGTGGGGCCAGTGCGGCATACAGGACTGGGGATCAAACTCTGATTCCTGCACTTGCCAAAGCAGGCTCTTAGTCCGCTGAGCTATCTCGCCAGCCCTTGTATCTTAACTACTTTTATTAATGAGTCTATGATGATTTCCTAATGGTTATTCCATAAGATTGTTGTCCGCTAGATTATTGGAATCATTTGAATTGTCATAATAACAGTGATTATGCATAAATCTGTGGGAAACAGCCTTGCCCATGAACTTCTGGCTGTGTCTTTGTTATCTTCCTCTATGTAAAAGCAATGGACCAAAGATGACAGGTGTATTAGAGCTCTATGATAGTGGATAGCAACTGGACTTTGAGAAAGGTCATAGTCATTTATGTGGCATTTCCTGCCAGTACATTTTGTCCAGTGGCCTTTCTTTTCTTTTCTTTTCTTTTCTTTTCTTTTCTTTTCTTTTCTTTTCTTTTCCTCTCTCTCTCTCTCTCTCTCTCTCTCTCTCTCTCTCTCTTTCTTTCTTCTTTTGATGTTCTGTAAGTAAGTGAGGGTTGAAGAGCAGCCCCAGGCACAGCCACACACACACACACCTTCCTGAGGTCACAAACATACACAGCCATACGCTGCCATCTTTGCTGTGCCCTGCTCCTTTAGCTGCTCACCTGATAGACTGTCAACTGCTTGTGTGTAAACATGGAAAGTGACAGAAATCCTTCAAGTTCTGAGCCTCAGAGTCAGATTTCTGAGTTCTAAGTCAGCTATTTACCATGGCAGCATCAGAAACCAAATATAACCAGAACAATGAAAAGAGAGGAAAAGAGAAAAGGGAAAAAAGCACAAGATCTACTCTCTTGCATGTAAAATGTTCTGCACACACACCATGCATGCCGAAGAGGGATAAAAACTGAGGCTGAAGAATGAATGCCGTGGGGGTTACCTCCCTCTTGCGAGTATCTAAGGTGGTCCTTGTCCTTCATAAATTTAGAGGTTCTTGGGGGAGGTAGGTGCAAACAGTCTAGTAGAGGACAAGGTGGTAGGTACAAGAGTCTCAAAAGCATGTCTCAGAGAACAAAGATGGCCACATCATACAGCCAGTCAAGAAGTGGTTAGAAGCCCATGGGAGACACCTTGCAATCTGAGAATTTCACGTGGGGGGCAGTCTGGAGGGTGACAAAAAGGTAGGGAGCTTGGATGGTGGAATAAACTTGAAGTCTCAGTAGTAAGGAAGCTGAGGCAGGAAGATTTTAAGTCCAAACCAGCTTGGGGTCCAGAGGGAAATCCTGTCTCACAATAAAAACAAAGGAAGAAAGAATGTGGGGAGGTACAGCACAAGCAAGGAGACTCAGATGAGAAGCCACATGCTATATCAGGAGCTCGAGTTCAGTGCACCACTGGGGCCTCTACCTCTGTGGAGAAAGCTGATTTTTTTTTTCTTGTAAGCCATCAGGTATCATGATATTCCTTTAATTGAAATTCTTCCAAGCAGTTGAAAATATGTTAAAGTATTTCACATGATTTAAAACAAAACAAAACAGAGCTCCACACCAATGTGACTTCGTGAACAGTACTGACGGATGGGGACAAGAGTGGAAGCTGTGTATTTGCAGGAAAGGAGCCAGGTTGCCCCCTGGTTGATAAAGGACGGAAGAAATGAAGTGGGAAAGGTGAACAGAATGTAATCTGAGATGATTAGGAGAGAGAGCCAGAAGGGGAAGGAGAGTCAGGGGTTAGTTTGTCCCCTTGTCAGAATCACTTTCATCCCACCAAGACACAATGCCTGACACACACAACTTAAAAGAAGAGAGGGAGGTTTATGTTGGCTCACATTTCAGTAGTTTCAGTTCTTATATGGTTGGCTGGTTCCAGGGAAGGATGACCTGGCCCAGGGCCACTGCAAGAGAATAGCTCCTTATGGCACGGCATCCAGGAAGCGAAGAGTGAAGGAAGGAGCGATGACAGTACCGAAAAATCTAAATCCCAAGTCTCATCTGGGACTTCAGCTCTTATCTATGAGTCCCATGTAAAGATCAAAAAGAAAGTCAACTGCTGTGGACGTGTAGTGGCACAGGGTAGACATTCCCATTCCAAAGGGGAGGAAGAGGGGAATAGAAAACAATGGCATCAAAGCAAGACTGAAACTCAGCCGGCAGACATTGAAGCCTGCAGCTGCATGTTCAGCACCAGGAGCTAAGAAGTCTAAAGGACTCGGGCAGCACTGGCCCTGAGGCATCTTGTGGCTTCTCTCTTGGGCTTTCGGCCACTCCTTTCAGCGTTCCTCAGATGTCTAACTTTCCTGGATTCTCCAACATCTTGGGGACTCCACTGCACTCTTGGCTTCACCTTCACAGCCTCCCCTTCTGTCTTCACGGGGGCACAATGCCTGGCCTCCCAAGCCTTCTGAAAACTGAATGGAAGCTTCTCTGATTCCCATAACCCTTGCATTCTGTATGCCCATAAAACCAGCACCACATGGAGGGTGTCAAGGCCTGCCACCAGCCAGAGCAGTTGCCAGACCTTCTTGTACTATGATTGCAGTGGTCTCTGTGTGACAGAATGAGTAGGCACTGTGAACTGGATCCCAGGTAATCAATGCCCCAGGGGGCCATTCTCCTGCTCCATCAGGTTGCCAAGTGCTCTCTTTTCAAAGCAAAGACTGTCATTTTTTTTTTGCCATTTTTTTCTTAATTTCTTTATTTTTTTATTAACTTTTTTTTCAACATTTCTTGTGTGGAGTTGATACATGTACATCACATGTCCTAATTCCTTTTTCATCCTGTTTTCCTACCTTCTATCCTATTCTGTCCATCCAGCTATCTCCTGATCTACTTCCTGTTTGGCTTTTTTTTTCAAAGTTTTATTGATAAACAGATAGCAATGAGACAGTTTCAAATCAAATCGGAAATACAGTTTCAACAAATAATGCACTGCATATATTCTTCTTAGTGGTTAATTGCTGTACAAGATGCGGACATGTGATCCTATTTACAAACACCATTAGAACAAATTGTTCTATTCATTAAGAGAATGCAACTATATATCTATCCCA